CGTAAACATCTTACGAGGAAATTAACCAGACTTTACGTAATTACTCGACAGTAAACACCCAGTTTCTCGCGTAACGACCAGCCTGGTGCAGGCAAATTAATTTCTGATAATAACAAAACTATGGGAACTGGTTGTAATTTCAATGGTTTAATAGTAAGCATGTTTTTCTTTCTTTTGGACTCATTAGCTTTATGCATGTTAGTAATTACTTCCTCATAGTCCAATTATCTTACTATTTATTCTGATGTACACTTACAAACATGTACCGGTAAGGAAAATATTGGTAATAAGTATTTATACCTTGGTGTACAGCTGGTTAATGCTGACTGGACATTAGAACAGTAATACAGTAATTACCCTCACCCAAAGGATCGTTTTGAATTAAAGTATTAATTACATATCATGTAATAAAAACTGGCCAGTAATTCAGTGCCACCTGTCAACCACCCCTCTGGTATATTGGGACTACATTGGCCGTCTTACTAATTTTTGGCAGTTCGCCTGCTACCAGTGATTTGTTGTATACCATGGATCGTGGCAGTACACTGATTAGTACATTGAGCCATACCATTGATCTGAGGGCGAGGAGAAGCAAAGATGTGACAGTCAGCATTATCTCACACTACTCTAACATCAAGTTCTTAATTAAGAAAGTCAGAGCCTCAGTCGATCAAAAGACCTTTAGATACGGTAAATATACGTATACAATTGTTCAGGAAGACGTCTATAACTTTTTGACAGGTCTGTAGCTTGATGCGAAAAAGGTTATGACTCTATACGAATAATCGACCATTAGGAAAATATACATGTTCTCTAAATGGCAGCAGTGAAGACCAGACAGACACAATCCTCCTCCACCTGGAGAGAGGTGAAGCAACTTGTCTTCTAAATAGTACGTCGCATTTTGACGTTCACTCTTCCTAAGTCCAAAAACTTTCGTACAAGAAAATGGTAGCAGCTCGCGAAATTGACAAACTGTCCCGTTTCGGTAGTCTGGTAGGTTAGGATAAGGGCACTTTGGTACAGCAGGTTCTTGAAGTTGGGAACGCTAGCGAGAACGAAGCATTTGGACATCAATGCTTCACTAGTGTCAACATCCCCATTGCATCACATACTTCAACCTATTCTCAGTGTAACAAGTTCACCCCATAGCTTCCATGGAGGGACTGGTCAAAATAGGGTCTTCGTTACCCATCTGCACAAAAACGTATACTTTAAACTATAGCAACCTTGCAGGGCATCGCCAAAAGCGAGTCAGAGTAACCATAACCTAACACGTCTAGGCCTAATATATGAAGTATTAGTCCTAATTTACTACATACATGTAATAAACTAGTCCTAGGCAAAGTTAAGTTTGATAGGTGTATTCTTTTTCACCAATAGTAATAGTACAAAAAGTGCATTTTTTGGTGGGATGCAACACTGCATATTTTGCATTATCATCCATAACAACTGAGAGTGCAATACATGTTGGATGACTGGTTGCATGCTTGGCATTACATTACGTCACTTCCAACTTTGGCTCCTACATATGACATAAACATCAGGGTGTTCAGTTATTTTAGGAGAATGAGCCAATTTAAATTAACAATTTCTAATATCATCAGTAATTACTAATTGGTGTAGATTTGACATGACTCTCAAGAACATGGTACAAAACGTTATCCTTTACATCACACTCTTAAATTTGTGAATTGATTTTCTATATGGAGACTTTACTCCTCTAAAGGCAGTTTAATCATATGTTATAAAAGTCATCCTTCAGTATTTCTGTGAGAGTTCATTTTCTAAACTGATTATATTGGCATATATATATGTGGGAACCTGTGAGATTTGTATTTATTTAATTTATATGAATTTATATAGAATTTATATTTACGTTAATATATATCTTTCGATAGCAATTGGTATGATGTTAAGTGGACTGTATTTCTGCAATAATCTCACAAATCGATCCTTACACATTAGGGGGGTTCATATTAAATATATATATATAAATGCAGCCAATCAAACTACAGTATTAACTACATATATTAGTAAATAAATTGGAGGTGCCTTATCTTATTGTACAGCAGGCTTAGTCCACCAGATATAACTAGGATGTAGACCCCAAATTATCCTCGTGTGAGGCTAGCTTCCATCACCCATAGTAACTGATGTACCAAGATTAATTTGCATCCTCTTCTTGTTCCTGTCAAAGGGCACTAGCTGTAAAGCCGGAATCCCTAATATATGACAGCTATATCAGAGAAAACACTGTATATTAAATAAGATAAGGACCAAGGCTTAATTACCTGGGTTGAGTCGATCGTTTGTATTCTAACCAGTATTAATCATATCTACCTAACATTACTGGCCAATAATGACTTAGATAAGATTTCGGAAAGACACTTCCCTTGTGGTTGTTGACAGCGTGTTGATGATGGTAGAACACTTAAGTTGATCTCCATAACACTTCGTCCAAGAGAAATTATAGGAGCCGAACTCGCTCCAACGACTCTGGTCTTACAAACAATGGCTGACCTCTTCACAGACGCCTTGGCTCGCCTTGTCCAATGTCATTAAGTGATAGAAGGGTCACATTTACTCTATTTTGATACTGATAATTAAGTTAATTCAAATGAGATGTTTTTATGATATTAAAAGTCCAAAGACATATGTATTTAAGAATTATTCCCAACAGAATAGCTGGTGAATTTAAAGTACTATGTGGCAATGATATCCCGTTTTCTATTGACGGAAAATTCCACTACAAGCTACATTTTCTATGGTAACTTGTGTATAGAACACAGCAGCAATATTATCTGCATGTTTTATGTAATATTAGTAAATAGTGTTGGGGTTTCCCACAGTGTATATATATATTATATGTTCCTACTTCAAATATTTGGAATATAATATGAAGCAACTGACAAGGTTCTAAAATGCTATGAGTTAAACTTGGTTAATGTGGGTTAGGGTACTACTCAAGATGAATCAAGCTGGGTTAGTATGAGTTTGGGTTGCCACGGTGGGCTACGGTGGGTTAGGGTGAGCTTGGGTGGCCATGGTGGGTTAGGGTGAGCTTGGGTGGCCACAATGGGTTAAAGTGAGCTTGGTGGTCAGGGTGGGCTACGGTGGGTTAGGGTGAGCTTGGGTGGCCAGGATGGGTTAGGGTGAGCTTGGGTGGCCAAGATGGGTGACAGTGGGTTAGTATGAGCTTGGGTGGCCACGGTGTGCTACGGTGGGTTAGGGTGAGCTTGGGTGTCCACGGTGGGCTATGGTGGGTTAAGGTGAGCTTGAGTGGCCACGATGGATGACAGTGGGTTAGGGTGAGCTTGGGTGGCCATTGTGGGTTAGGGTGAGCTTGGGTGGCCACGGTGGGTTAGGGTGAGCTTGGGTGGCCACGGTGGGTGGCAGTGAGTTAGGGTGAGCTTGGGTGGCCACGATGGGTGACGGTGGGTTAGGGTGAGCTTGGGTGGCCACGGTGGGTTTCGGAGGGTTAGGGTGAGCTTGGGTGGCCACGATGGGTGACAGTGGGTTAGGGTGAGCTTGGGTGGCCACGATGGGTGGCAGTGGGTTAGGGTGAGCTTGGGTGGCCACGATGGGTGGCTTTAGGTTAGGGTGAGCTTGGGTGGCCACGATGGGTGTGTTACGGCCCTATTGGGCCGCAACTGGGGTTCTTCTCTGATGTTATTAGAGTTCGAGTATCCGGCTCCAAGTTAGAAGTGGCTTTCAAGGGGTGTGTTCCGTAACGCAAGTAAATTAAAGGGGAAGGGATAAAAATGCACTAATTTAAATATATATATTCACCACCACCAATAAATAAATATATAAACAGTCACTCGCTGGGGCTATAACTACACTTATGTACATTAACTTGTCTTCCTCTGAAAACACAGGATGCTCTACGGTGCTCCAGACGAGTAGCCCTGGTTCTCTTCTTGTGGCCTCACGATGAATCCTTAGATTCCCTAGGTGAATCTACCCTGGCCACAGGCCAGCCAAATCACAGTCCCACTGGGTGCACCGTCGTGGAGGCCTTCAACCACAAATCCAGCCTGTAGCTGGCAGGTTCCAATCAGCTCTGCTGCGTAGGCCACTCCACGACCGATACTAGGGTTGCGAGCCCTAGGCAGGAGCCTCGTGTGATTCCACAGATCACTCTCCTCTCTCAACAACACCCCAGTGGCTACTCTTCTCCACCAGTTAGCCCCGGGTACGATAATTCCTGGTTCTGCCACCTCACAGGCAGGCTAACACAACCGTGTTCATCCGGGGGGTGACTCACAGCTTCTGCAGCAAACACATGGAGATACTATGGCTGCCTTGGGTAGACTGATCCAACGTCCAATACAGCAGTCCCAGGTCGACTCTGTAATCAGACACGTCATCAGTACTAGTTACACTCTAGGGCACCTCACTTACAGGCTTAGACACAAACGCCCACCTATCCACTCCATAGATGGCGTTGCTGTCTAAGCATCACCTCACCAGAGGTCAGCAGCGGCTATGTTATGAGCTGATCAAGACGGGAAACCAGCCCCTGTGGCCGGTATATCCCGTCCTCGCAAGATGGCGTCGCCCATTTGGAGGAGGTTTCAGGAGCTGACCCACAGATGGCGATGTCGTCACTGCTCCGTGCTCGGACGCTGGGCTCGGGTCCGTAACAGGGTGGCAGTGGGTTAGGGTGAGCTTAGGCGGCCACGATGGGTGACAGTGGGTTAGGGTGAGCTTGGGTGGCCACGATGGGTGGCAGTGGGTTAGGGTGAGCTTGGGTGGCCACGATGGGTGGCATTAGGTTAGGGTGAGCTTGAGTGGCCACGATGGGTGACAGTGGGTTAGAGTGAGCTTGGGTGGCCACGATGGGTGACAGTGGGTTAGGGTGAGCTTGGGCGGCCACGATGGGTGACAGTGGGTTAGGGTGAGCTTGGGTGGCCACGATGGGTGACAGTGGGTTAGGGTGAGCTTGGGTGGCCATGATGGGTGACAGTGGGTTAGGGTGAGCTTGGGTGGCCACGATGGGTTAGGGTGAGCAGGAGAGATTTGGTTGTATGGGTGAGTTGCTAGGTGAGGATTCACTTGATTGTTTGTTCAGCTTCAGTGGCTTTGAAAGATGTGGAAGTGAGTCAGCAACTGACTCGACCCTGCAATTTACAGAAGGAAAAATAAGCATATCCGGTAAAACTAAGAGACTGATCAAGGTTGCCAAATGAGGGGAACTGTAACAGCATGACTGCCGTTTGAATACAATAACTACTGTACTCATCTAGTAATTTTACTCGTCTAGTTGTGCTTGCGGGTGTTGAGATTTGGCTCTTTGGTCCCACCTCTCAACTGTCAATCAACTTGTGTACAGAATCCTGAGCCTATTCTGCTCTATCATATCTACATTTGAAACTGTGTATGGAGTCTGCCTCCACCACATCACTACTTAATGCATTCTTTTTGTTAACTACTCTGACATTGAAAAATTATTTTTAATGTCTCTGTGGCTCACTTGAGTACTAAGTTTCCACCTGTGTTCCTTTATTCGTGTTCCACCCATGCTAAAGAATTTGTCTTTGTCCACCCTGTCAATTTCCCTGATATTTTTGTTGGTGGTTATCATGTCTCCCCTTACTTTTCTGTTTTCCAGGGATGTGAGGTTCATCTTCCTTAGCCTTTCCTCGTAGCTCATACCTCTCAGTTCCAGAACGAGTCTGGTGGAATACCTCTGAATCTTCTCTGCCTTTGTCTTGTGTTTAAATAGGAATGGACTCCAGGCTGGAGCTGCATATTCCAGGATTGGTCTTACATATGTGGTATACAAGGTCCTGAACGATTCCTTACACAAGTTTCTAAAGGCAGTTCTAAAAAAGTGTCATTATTATATCAAGTAAATTTTGGCCAAGGCACAGTGACGCACCTCGGTTATGAAGTGGGCTAAGGAAAAGTGTTACCTCGGCAAGGTAAAATCCGTGCCATTCTGGAGTATCTCGTGCTCCAGTCTAAAAAGGATATTCAAAGGTTTATCGGTATGTGTGCGTACTATTGACGCTTTTGTCAGAACTTTTCCAGTGTTGCCACTCCTCTCACAAACTTGTTGCGGAAGGCCGTTAAATTTAAGTGGTCATCAGACTGTGCAGAGGCATTTAAAAATTTGAAATTGATCTTAGCTTTCGCCCCAGTGCTCGCTAGTCCAAGGTTCGACCGACCATTTAAAATTCATGTTGGCGCGTCTGACTCGGGTGCTGGTGCAGTGTTGTTGCAAACTGGGGATGATCAAGTGGAACACCCAGTATATTATTACTCTGTGAAATTTGACAAGGCGCAACACAATTATTCAGTGGTAGAAAAAGAGGCGTTGGTGCTAGTGTTAACATGTAAAAAGTTCGAAGTCTACCTCACAGGTAATATAGTGGAAATGTACACGGACCATAACCCACTAGTTTTCCTGAATCAAATGAAGGAAAAGAATAAACGCATCCTTAGGTGGGCATTGTACCTACAGGACTTCAATCTTTCCATTATCCACCTACCGGGCTGGCTCAACGTGATAGCCGACGCTCTGTCCCGGTTGCCTGAGTAACATTCATCTGGGCCACAGGATGCCATTTACCAACTATCATGCTTTAGTTATATATTTTTTTTTGTAGGTTCTCCTGTGACATTAAATATTCCGTGTCCAATTTATTTACTTCCCTGATTTTTTGTGTGTATGTGTTTTTTCTTTCAGAGAATTCCTTTGTACTTTTCATGCAGAGAAATTGTTGTTTTGATTGATTTTCTTTTATGCCATGGATTTTCCTTTTTATTCTCTGTATAGTCTTACAAACAAATATGACTACTATTCTAGTAGCCACATTTTTTTTTCTCTGAAGGGGGGAGGAGTGTTATGACCCTGGGTTCCTCAGTTGGAAACCAGAGGTCAAATTGAGCTAAATAAACTACTTTATATTAGTGGGACGCATGGCGAGGTGTCTTTGTTTGTATCTTCCCTGCCAGACGTAAGACGATTCTTGTTTCTCAAAGAGCATTTAAAGACTGAGCTTGTGATTAGTTATTAATTAATAAAATAGGCAGCAACTATGTTTACAAATGAGTAGCAAGTATTAGTAAAGTAGATCTGAGTAAACTTGGATATAGGGCTGCTGTTCGATTAGTTGAGTAGTCTGCTGGCAGCGAGTCAGCTGCGGAAGGAGACTGGAGACGGTCTCCCTTTTCTGGCGGGCGTCTGTGGTGTCAAGAGCTTTTCTGAGTTGCTCTGCACCCCTCTACCTTTCCTCCTACTTCTTTCCCTCACCTTAAGTTCCTGTAACCATTAAGATAAGTACTGTGTATTTAATTGAGCATACTCTGGAAGTGTAAGATTTGTGTAGACCGTGAGTAGTATTTGCCAGTGTTTTGGGTACCCCCAAGTGTTGTGTTGTGTTAGGGTACCACGTGGGCTCACTACCCCTAAGCTGCCTCAAGCTTCAAGTCCTTCACTAGTAAACTTTACCCAAGCTTGTGCCATTGTAAACCTTGTATCCTGCCTATGTGGACCAAGGATTTTAACGTAAGATAGAGTGGTAAAGTAATTATTGTTATTGGTGTGAATGTATTTGGGGGGTGGTTAAGGGGTTAATAAATAAGAAAATTAGTATTAAAGGAGTATCCATTCTTCCTGTGTAGGAGATCTATGATCTACCTCTAAGCTGACATTGTCTTGTCACCAATTAATTATTTACCCTTATGTTTCTTGGGGGCCGGGCTTTTAAGATCTCCATTACTTTGGTTACATCTTGATACTAACGTCTGACCCTACTCTAAATTAATACTAGATCCCCATAGCAGCACTTTTAAATACATAACAGGTGGTATAAAGTGTTGGGGGGTGGTGGAATAAAGTGCAGGAGGGGTGGTGGTATAAAGTGCAGGGAGTGAAGGTATAAAGTGCAGGGGATGGTGTTATAAAGTGCAGGGAGTGGTGGTATAAAGTGCAGAGGGGTGGTGATATAAAGTGCAGGGGATGGTGGTATAAAGTGCAGGGTGTGGTGGTAATAAGTGCAGGGGGATGGTGGTATAAAGTGCAGGGGGGGTGGTGGATAAAGTGCAGGATGTGGTAGTTTAAAGTGCAGGGGATGGTGGTATAAAGTGCTGGGGGGTGGTGGAATAAAGTGCAGGGGTTGATTTTATAATGTAATACCCCCACCTTGCTTTACCCCATCCTCACTTAAAAATCCCAGCTCTACGCTGTTGCAAGATCTCTATGGCCCTCACTGAACTCCCAGCTAACTGTTAAACTGAAATATTAAATGGTGGAAAGCTACAAAATGAAGGGGTTATTAATTTTATATAATAATGAATACTTAAACTTACACTGCCACCACCTTTCTGCTACCCTGAATGTACTGCCCATCACTACTGATCTCCCAGGAAGGACAGAAATCAATAATCAAGAAACTTGAGGGACGTAGGAATCTTGGCAATAATGCTTGGGAATTAAATAGAAATCTTTACTTATTGAGGATTCAAGAGCAACTTTAATATCCCTGATATGGAGGAGATTACATGGGGATTTTTAGTACAGAACATAAAAACCACATTTAAAAATGACTCAGTATTATTAAAAGGGGGAACAGATAACTAAACAACAAAATACCTTAATAAGCACTTTATTTATCAAATACACGTATATTTATATCCTGGCTGTAATTACTATATTAGGCAATAGTATCTACTGATGGGCATGAATACTCAAGTGCACATTACCTTAACCTGATACTGGCCACAGATGTTGAATGGCTGTCCTCAGGCCGTGAAGGGACCTTTCCAAGGTCACTCCCAAAGACACACTAACTAATATTTTCTTAACAAACTTACCAGTGGAAACACGCTCTACCCACAACTTAGTTCCTTAGACCCAATAAACCCCGCCTTTCAAAGTCAAGAGCCAATCAGTTCAATAGTCCTGTTCTAAATTTTTGGTCCTGCCAACCAGTGCCATGACTAGCTCCCCCCCCCCCCGTCCCTAGACCACCCTGGACATCAACCAATCAAGCTCCAGGCTAGGTATAGGTATGCTTCTAGGCTAGGTTAAGGTCTGTTTCCCTTGACAGAAATCTCACGTAACTGGCAATAAGCAATACAACCGGCTCCTGAGAACAAGCTGGTCTGGCCAGCCTCCCAACCGAAATTTGAGAACTACGGTTTTATGGCACTGAATTTTACTGGCCCTCAATTTGTCAATAGCTATAGACGGACAGAGAGAGGGGAAGGGTTGGGATGGAAGTTTGGAAGGAGGATTGATGACGAGGATTAGGGAATAGGAGGATTGGGGCAGGACGGGACGAGTGGCCAGCGACGGTCTCACATGCGTAAGGAAATCTGAGTCCAACTGTTTATGGCAGAAAAGGGCCAATGGGGGAGGGAGGGGGGTGGAAGAATGACCAAGGAAGGGGACTGCCAACTAGGGGAAGAGGAAGGTGAAGGGGGGAAGGGGAAGGAAAGGGAAAAAAATATGGTCTGTGTACAGATCATTACAATAAAGTTCAGGGGGATGGTCGAATAAAGCGCAGGGGGAGGTGGTATAAAGTGCAGGGGGAGGTGGTATAAAGTGCAGGCGGGTGGTGATATAAAGTGCAGGGGGTGGTGGAATAAAGTGCAGGGGGAGGTGGTATAAAGTGCAGGGGGAGGTGATATAAAGTGCAGGGGGAGGTGGTATAAAGTGCAGGGGGTGGTGATATAAAGTGCAGGGGGAGGTGGTATAAAGTGCAGGGGGAGGTGGTATAAAGCGTAGGGGGTGGTGATATAAAGTGCAGGGGGTGGTGGTATAAAGTGCAGGGGGAGGTGGTATAAAGTGCAGGGGGAGGTGATATAAAGTGCAGGGGGTGGTGGTATAAAGTGCAGGGGGAGGTGGTATAAAGTGCAGGGGGAGGTGATATAAAGTGCAGGGGGTGGTGGTATAAAGTGCAGGGGGAGGTGGTATAAAGTGCAGGGGGAGGTGATATAAAGTGCAGGGGGTGGTGGTATAAAGTGCAGGGGGAGGTGGTATAAAGTGC